GGGGAGGTCGCCAATATAATTTTTCCGGAAAAAAATTTTCGGTACTAGTCGAGCACAATCCCGAAAAGTCGGGCAATTTTCTTTCCGCCCCCCTAATTTTTTCCTTCCGGTACGCCCATGGAGCACCCCACACACATGCTCGTTTCACAGCCAAAATTTAATGTCAAAACAACATGAAAACTTCAAAGAAATTATAACAGAGGAAACTTTGACAGTATTCGAAAAGCAGAAGAGTTTCTATCCTTCCCAATATTCGATAATAAAGATTAATACGTGACACTATTAGTATTAATTATGACTTTTATGTGCTGATGGTATTGTAACTTTAAGCAGGGACGCCGGAACTGGGGGGCAGGAGGGGCAGCCGCCCCCGTTGCCCTTTAGCAGGAGGGGCAAGGGGGGCAAAGGTGAAATAGCGAATTGTCAGAAATGTTAGTGCAATTCTTTTACGAATTTGCTTCAGAAAACGCAAGAAATGCAGTCATTGAGCTTCAAGAATAGCACAATCGCCTGGCGGAGAACTCCCTCACACCCCTATCATCCAATAAATAGAAAACATGGTTAGGCGAAGTTCAATTCCCGATGTTTTGCAAACATCTCTTAGTATATACCAATTCAAAAGTGCCCTTTCACGAAAATCTGCCCCCCCCTGCCTTCACATCGTTCCGGCGTCCCTGACTTTAAGGATTTCATCTTGTCTAACTTCGTTCTACTTTGATATAAATGTAGTTTATTCCTTTTACTAAAAGTAATATAAAACGTGTTGTTTCGCTATTTCGTTTCGCTGTTTCGTTGTTTCGCTGTTTCGTTTCCTGTTTCGTGGTTTAGTAATGTCCCTGGGGCGACGTTAAGTACAAGTATACCACTAAAGAAGAGCGTGTTTGTTTTTCCGAAAATATTGATTCTTGAAATTTGTAGTTTGCCTATTTGAGTTAGCGCTATTAGTTATAACAAGTACAACCATCTAGCAATGTTGTTTTAATAGTCATATAGTATACACTCTATTACAGTACAGTCAGATATAGTATCTGTTAAAATAAGCGCTTATCCTGTTGTCATTAGGGAGTGGGCTTGTAGGGGTGGATGATTTTTTAGGCACAAGCGAAAATGTTCCATAACCCCTCTCTTGACAATTGTTGAAATTCACAACCCCTCCTTCACACGTTCAAAAAAATTTTTAACCCTCCTCAAGGAAATTGTTTTAACAAATATAAAAATAAATAAAAACAAAATAAATGTTGAGTTTTAATATTGCCATTTCAACTTGAAACAAAAAGTCTTCTATTGACCTTGCACTTAAAAAATAAGACCAACATTATTATTTTGGCACACAAGTTAGATTTTTGTAAAGGGCTGAGACTAAAGTTGTTTATTTTACAGGTATTTCGCATGATTACCAAGAAACTAGGTAATGACCTGTGTCTACAACCATGTACCAATTAATAACGCTGCAGCTTTAGTCATATATCTACTAATCTACATACGATACCACTATAGTGGGTAGTATAAAGGCGGACAACTGGAAGAATAATGGGCCATTCCAATTAATATAGGCACCCCTCCCCCCCCTATTGAGGGGTCCCTTCATAACCACCTTAGGATATGAAAAATTTGCAACACCCTTGGATGCAATTTGTGGAAGTTACCCCCAAGGATATCTTACTAACCCCTTTAGGATATCGCTTTTTCCGTCTTGGATATCACAAAAAACACCTAATTTTTGCTATTTTTTAAAAAATCTCTCAAGCTACCCTCTAGGAAAATTTAAGATGAAGATCCCCTCCTCCCCCATTGGATATCTATACCTTTCAATAGGGGGATACACATATTAAATGGAATGGCCCAATATATGTTATTGTGCCAAGTTATTGAGTTACTCCTTTTCAACTTTTGGTAATACAGTATTTTGTTCCAATGCACCTAAATCCTTCAATGTTATTTAATAAAAATAGGATGTAGACCATCGAAAGAAGCAGGCGATATTTGACTTTAAGTTTAATTTATGTAGATCCAATTCAAATATCCAATATTATCCAAAGACCAAAATATATAAAATTATGTACAAATTATCCACTTCCCTCCTCGATAACATAACAGTGAAACGTCGTGATAACTTTTAGTGAATTCTTAATATATTTCTTTCAAAAACCCCAAAAGAAAAAACACGAGTGGACCAAAAAAGTTGATTACAAATCCAACAGGGCAATTGCTAGATAGTATACTTCAAAATAAGGTTTCCGTTTTTATATCAATTTTTAAAATAAGTTAGGGTTAGGTTAGGGTTTAGGTTAGGGTTAGGTTAGGGTTAGGGATAGTATTAGGGTTAGGGTTTAGTTTTGAGTTAGGATAGTTTTTTCTATGTTATAAAAACGGAAACCTTATTTTGAAGTATACTATCTAGCGATCACCAAATCAACAGCGAACTTTTGTACGCTTTTCCATGGTCGCCATATTTTCATTTCGTAAGAATTACGTAATTTTTGTCCAAAAAATGACGTAATTCGTCATTTTGTGGTCTACCCACTGAGCTATAAAAAGCTATAAAAAGCTATAATGGATCTACCAAAGGACAAAAGCAAACCTAGCCTGCGTACAAACCAAGAATAGCAAGGAATACCTCGAGCCGATGGGCACCACAAGTGGCCCCACCGACTAATAAATAATATACGTACAGGACACAAGTTTTATATTGTAAACTTTATTGGACAGTAAAACAAGACATACCAAACGGCACGAGTGCAAACGGGACTCGAAGTCCCATGCGAGGAACTCCACCTTTTTTACAAATTAATTAAATTACTATTATTACACTACAACCTAAATAAACACATGCCAATTGCTTGAAGCTCAGACGTATTACGTGGTTGGTTAAAGTGATTCTTACGTTTTTGATCCGATGTCGTAGTGCTGAATCAGTGTTTGATAAATTGGAAGATTGGATAAAATTCATTTTTTCATCTATGTTCTTTAGATATCAAGACTTTAAACTTGAAACACGTTGGGCTGAACATTTTGCTATTGTTCATCATGCTCGCAGTTGTAGAATCTATTACAGGTAATTGCAAGCTTTAATAGTTTACATATATTTTTTGCGCGGTATTATAATCCTTAAAACAATTCGAACTGAACAATGAATAGATAAATCTATAGTTTAATTTGGTTTCACTCAGCGCTAGTGTACGTGTAACAGATGGTGGTCAACCAGCCTTTTCATTATATGTAGTAGTCTAGAAGAAAATAAATAAATATAGTTTACTCAGCCTAGTCCCAGTCGTTCTGAAGCAAGCGCGAGAATGTAGTACAAGACTGGGACCTAGGTGTGACGTCACCGCAAAAGCTTCTTCAGAACGCCTAGCAGATTTCAGTATTTTTAATATGGCGAACAATTTATATATACAAATAACTTTGTAAATACGACAATCTTCGTTGATCATGTTCAATGTCTACATAACCAAATTCAAACTGTACTAAAAATGTGCTCAATTAAAAAAAATTATATACAATATATAATCGTTGATGTTATTTATATACTCATAAGTTGTGATCAACACTAGACCATACTGGTATACACAAAACTACGTTTTGTACTTGACAAGTTTAAGTAGCTAAGGAGATTGGAAATATTTGCCTGACATGACTGTGTTGTCAAAACATTTTTAGTTGGAGACTCGGCATAATTTTCAAGCTTCTATAGATAGCATTTAATATGGCTTTATATTTTAGTAAACACGAGTCAGATTTAGTAGCCTTAGAAACGTAGCCTATTTCATTGTTCCGACAGCATTAGAGCAAAACTAATGATTTAATTATAAACGCAAAGGAAATTTCCATAACATTTTCTATTTACGAATGCGGCATGCTTGGTAACCAGGTCAGGGACCACTTTTTTGAAATCAGGGACCAATTTACCGAAATCTGCTAGGCTCTCTCGCTGAAGCGTTCCGCACAGCACACCCAGGCATAAAACTTTTAAGACTTATTTAAATATGTCAAAGCAGCGAATAGAGAGAGAGAGAGAGAGAGAGAGCCTGGGACTAGGCTGTAGTTTACTCAAACGTTAACCTACCAATACCGACTGGTTCTTTTGTTTTAGGACCACAAAGAGAAGTGGTTTCAATATACAATGATGATTTTGTCACTCCGCCATCCAGACCTCAATATTTCATCAAAGTTTATCGTTGTGTTGAAGTTGACTTTGGCGAATGCCCTAGCAGTGGACGGTATGTGTACCCAGTGCCAAACAATGTGGGAAAAATTGAGATAGTGGTTCCGGATATAACAAACAAAGATTCTAGCAATAAAAAGAAATTTTATAAATATGTCGTTTATAATCACACGTCTTGCGAATGTGGGAAAGTTGAGGACAGCAAGAGGAAACTGTATAAAACTGAAAACGGTGAGTCCAGTTCACAGTGAGCAAATACCAACAAAAAATGAACATGTTTTGTCAGTTTACTTGTTTTCGTTCTTTAGAAAATTTCTTCTATATAATTGCGGTGCCCGTGCCAAGATTGGCACTCGGCTTTATTTGTCCGTTTGTTTGTTAGTTAAAAACTTTAGTTTGTTTGTTAGTTTGTTCGAATCAATACGTTTCCTTAGACCCCGTTAGGACAAGTTTCCTTAGACTCCGTTTACACGGTAAAGGAAATTCAGAGAACGTGCAAGGAATTTTTGTTAAGCAAGCATTTGCTTCCGAACAAACTCCTCCCCCAAAAAACCGTCTGCTACGCAGGCTATGGCAGAAAAAGCGGTGCCAAACTTGGCACAGACGCCGCAATTTTACATCAAGGGACACTGCAGGTGGCAATTAACTCTTCAATTGGCCGCGATATGATTGTAGTGCGTATCACTATAGGCATAGGCTATAGTCCCAGCGAGTTAATGCTCTTTTGAGCGTCTTGTTGTTCATTATTGTTCGGATACGTTTTCAGTTCACAATTTGATAATATGAGTTTAACAAAGGTTTACATTACACAAAAAAGGTTTACATTACACAAATTTGGTGTGGATTTTTTGCACTGATTGATTGCTCGCTTCAAAGTCATCCAGACTGAGAGATTTTCAAAAGGGTTGAGATCAGGACTTTGTGCATGCATTTCAGGTTGTTCCTCTTTTTCCAGGATGTCACCAGGTTGACTTGATGTACCGGAGCATTATCGTCTTGTAATAATGTGCCCTTCTTATGGCGTCTTCTACTGACAACCAATTGGAAAAATGCTTTTGTAAAGTTTCCCTGTACATTCTTATATTGTCCTCTGAGAGCGGACCAACTCCATCGTAGGACATGCAACCCCACACCATAATTGATGTTTCTCCAGTTTTTTCTGAACCAAAGGTGCAACAAGGCAGCCATTCTTTAGTTGACTTCCGCCACACAAATACTCGTCCATCACTTCTACTGATTTTAATTTTGGACTCATCAGTTAAGAAGACTGAAGACCCTCTTCCAGTAAGCAAGTTTTTTTCTTTCCATTATCTCGAAGTGAATGTAGTCGCCTTCTATAGTTGTCCTTTCGGTAACTTTCTCATGGATCTCCATTCCACTTTCTGGCCAAACTCTTTGCTCCAAACTGTTTGTCACCAACCTTGCCAAACTTCCTCTCCCCTCTAGGAGTTGTTGTCAGCGGTCTTTCGGAACGTGGTGCCGTTTGAACATTTCCACGTATCCGCCGGACGCCTCTTAGGTTAGTTGCAATTATGCCTCGTGGTTGTTTGCTCTCTGCGGCAATCTTTGATATTGAAAGTACTCTTCTTCAGTAGCGTTCAGTAGCGTTCTTCTTCAGTGAGTTCTTTACTCGATTCTACCATAGATCAGTGGATCCTACCCATCTTTTGGCTCTGATGTTATAATTTTTAGAGGTTGTATATGCATATAAAAGAAGAATATACAGTAAAAGTTGTGGGAGATGCAAATTTCCTTACACTGCGCGTATAAATGTATGACAAGTACACAGGGAAATTTTTGTACCCAAAAATAACACTGTATTCAAACTTTCAAACTTAATGATTTCGCCATGAAAGATGCGCTATATAACTAACAAATTATTATTATCATATTATAAATTAGTACTTTTGGAAAGTAACTGTAGGTTGATGACAATATAAATATATAACCAGGGGAACACGGGAGCTCTCCCCTCATTACTGAGTTAAAACTGCTGCAATGCACTGGCGTTGAAAATCCTTCAGATATACTGCATCTGACATATGCTTTATCATATCAAGGTTTGGGTATTGTAGTACATACTTGATGCGCTTGAAAACTCATGTAAAGCGCGTTCCCCACTGGGCGAATTCCTGTTCGGCATCGCTAGCGCTCTTGCTGACGTGCTGAGCAATGCTGACAAAGCATAAAGCAGCTGCGCGTGAACAAATTTGCCCGGTGGAAAACGGGCTGTGCTTGGTTCTTTCCTGTACATCGAGGGATTTTCTCCGGGATCTCTGTCCCGGGTTTCCTCTCCCCCAAAATGTAACCATTCCACCTTTGCTGCATTCCATGCCGAGAACCCGAGGCGCATTATAGTAAGCTTTCGACTCACATAATTTGACGTTTCACATAATTCAGGTCTCAAGGAAAGGTGTTACACCGTAACCTTAATCTGTTTGAACTTTTCTTTGCAGTGTCAGAAGCTTATTTCAAAACGAAGTTTTCGAACAATCCAGTTAATCTAATACGTGTGTGTACCGTTTGCAGCAGTGCTCAACCAAGATATAAACTCCATCCAAAACATAGCAAAGTTGTCTCACTATTTAGATATCTGGCGTACCGACAGTGCTTGCCTGGCTGCGTGGTGGTAACAAACGAAACGTCTAATAAGGAAACTACCATGATTTCTAATGAAGTGGATAGTGTCCCGCTTACAAATGATATTTTATGCAAGGCTTATGATGGAGCTAAAACACAACAACAAGGTGAAAAGCATCCTCAGACTCTCAGAAGCTCGTCCTCAGAAGCTCCAGTTGGAAACTTGAGTGATCAAGGTAAGAAACCAAGGGTCTGATTTCTACTATTAATGATCATGATCCATTTAGATGATTTTCGGAAAAGAAAGGATAGCTTATCTGATAATTTAACTCCCGACAAACACACCGATCACCCGTAGAGAGGGGGCATTAGAGAGAGACGTTTATTAGAGAGGAAACGTAATAGAGAACGAGGGGCTTATTAGAGAAGAGGCTCATTGGAGAGGGGGCTTATTAGAGAGCAACCTATTAGAGAGGGACTTATTAGAGAAGGGGAATTTTAGAGATGAGGTTATTAGAAGGGGCTCATTGGAGAGGCGGCTTATTAGAGAGGGGGACTTATTAGAAAGGGAGCTTATTGGAGAGGGGCTTACGAGAGAGGGCAAATTGGAGAGAGGGTTTATTATTGGATTGATAGAGGGTATGAGGATTTACGCAATAATGAGTCAATGATGAATCAAGAATTATTATGTTTTTGTTTAGAACCAAATTATGAGATTCTAGTTTACATTGCTTCAGGAAAAGTTATCCTCGCCGCGTTTCTGCTGTCGTTGGTATTATTTACTATATTAATTATGGATTTTACACTTTGCCTTCGAAAGAAAGGATTTCTTTACGCTTTGGTCGGCTGTAAAAATAATGACGCGGATCATTTTTGTCAATGTTGTAGCGAAAGAAATAGAAACGAAATTACAGTGTAAAACGTAAGTATAAGTACGAAGACCTAGTTCACACGTTCAAACGAAACGAATTTTAAGTCGTATTAAAATATGAGCATGTTCTGTGATTAACTTGCGCACAATATTTTTTTGAATTTTTCATTAAAGAATTTATTGTGTTTGATGGATATAATATAAACCAATTAATCGCAGATCTTGTTCATATACCTTCGTGATTTGAGTAATTGAGAGCCTTTATTTAATGAAACACAATAGTGCAAAAACACTGGCGGACATTCTTTTTTTTTTGGGAGGGGGGGACTTTTGGTTGCCAACTTATGCATAAGGTATTGCATGTGTATCATAGATATAGATAGGCCTATTGTAAACTAAAATTAAAAATCTAGTTAGAATCTTCATGTTTCGTGCATGAATATATTTCTCTTTGATCTTGATTCCAATCATAACTCCATTGTGCACGGCGAAACATGAGGTTAAACCAGAATATAGAAATGATTATTTTTATAAGATACACTACTAGTCCGGTTTAATTTAGAACTGACACATTGTGAACTATATATAAATAACTGAATTATCAATTGCCAATTTTTTATCATTATCACCTTGTTATTATTGTTATCAGCAGCTTATATATTAATTTTTATAGATTTTCACCAATGAAACTATATGGATTTCTAGTTCTTTTAATTGTATAATTAATTTTCATGATTAAAGAAAAAAATGTTTTCAATTGTTTCATGTGTTTCTCAATTGCGGTATCATTTGTAATTCTCATAAGTTGTAATTCTCCTAAGTTGACATGGCGGGAA